CTTGCCTAGGCTGACTGCTTTCGCTAGGATGCATGGAAGAGAGATAATCTTCAGAACGTTATTTCTCCAGTGGTTCGGTCATTAATCAATCAGGAAAATTTAAGGTCCGGTGCACAAGGTAAGAAGGAAGGAAAGTTTGCAACTGCTGGAATGTCGGTCTTCCTTACGCATTCAAGATGTTGCCATTTCTGGCGCTGTTCTTATCATGAAGTAAATTACGATGCTCTCGTCTCCATTTCCATGCTATCAGCCAAGAGTGCTTTATTTTAACCATTTAACCATTTTATTTAATTATTTAAACCCACAACCTTACCCTGGAAGCTTGTGATCCGACTGGCACTTGAACACAGGACCTCTCGTTTCTCAGTTCAGCCCTAAATCAACTGAGCAACCGCAGTCTCAAAGTGCCACAAATTATATTCAGTGCTTAATCTTACCCACTCGTCGAATCGCAACTTGGTCTTTTGTCATGCATCCTAGCGAAAACACTCAGCCTAGACAAATGTCATCTCTGCTGTACAAATATATATATATATTATCACTTATTTTTGAGAAGAAGTTCAAAATCTGCATGCGTTATAAATCTGACACATTTGTGCATTTATTACTATTTACAAAATTGTCATTCAATGTAGTATTTTTATATGAGAAGAAATTGTCTCCTTCGGCAAATCACAATTATACTTCAGTACCATCAATTGTTTGGAGCAACTGAAGAGTGGTTACAAATAGACGAAACGTCATTATAGATGCTGATGTTCAGGGCATAACTATGAAAACTTCCTGATATTAGTTGAAGTAATTGCAACTGATACCAGAGCATAATATAATGCCCTGGAACGTCAGGCAACAAATAATTTACATAATACAATATGGTTAAGTTTATAATTAAGCATGACACGCAAAACAGCTCACTGAAGTGGATATCTTGAGGGCTCCAAATGCAGACAGGCATTCAACATGTCAGATGGGGAGATGAGCTAAATGTGAGATCACCATATCGGCTTCGCTTCAAGTGATATGACCAAACCTCGAATCCACGTGCTCTGTTGACTCGCACGTAAGCGTCAGTTAACGTCATGATACCACCACAGTCCTAAAAGTTTTCA